GACACTAACAGGGAAGGTCTTCCAGGACATGGAACGCTTTTCGAAACGGTTTTCTGCATATTGTAGGGCTCATGCGAGGAACACAGAACCATGATCCATTTTTCCTGAACGCCTCCAGGAATGTCAAAAAAGTTGGTGAAGAAATGGTCCAGAGTTCGATCCCCGGTGATGACTAATTTTTGCAATATAGTTTGGCGCCCCCAGATTGCCGCCAAATGGCGCCATCGTCGAGTATAGATGTCATTGTCGTGTTCTGCGGCAATTTGGAAGCGCCAACATAAATTGCAAAAATTTGTCGTCACGGGGATCGAACTTGGACCATTTCTCCGCTCCCGCTCTCTTGACATACCCGGGCGGGTCGTTAGCGGAGATATGAACTATGTCTCGTGCTGCTTCAATATGAGCCTCATACAACATCCATGGTAAACATGTTTGAAAAAAATGTCTTAAAAGGCCCCCCCCCCCCTGTAAGGACCCGAGATCCAGAACTCTTACATCCTGCGCCGGTGACATAGCGCCATGGTTTGCGGTTTAGATACTGGCAGTCTGAGTGGCGACGCCGGTAGAATGTGAAAGACATAGGATTGCAACCAAGGACCGCCCAATCCAACATGCACTCTCCAAACAAATAACGATCGTAAACGAGGACGTTATCGCAACTTAAAGGCACGCTTCGGGATAAGGCGCGCTTGCCTGTTCCATCCAGGGAGTAGTAGAAGGCGGAATGTGCCATTGTCGCACCCCTTTTGCCACTGAGAAAGTGCCTGACAAAGGCGCAAGGCAGCTCGTCCAACCCGCAACTCACACCTTCGTCCGCAAGCCCCACCCTCCGCTGTCGTTGCCACGTGGCGCATTTGAGGCAGCGGTCCCATTGCGACCCAATGTTATTGGCACTGGAGCAAGTAGAGTTAGGTTCGTGAAACTCGTCCAATTCCCTCTTCTCTATCCCAAGGTGGAATGTGGCTGAAATAGGGGAGGTCTCTGTACGGGGCGTAATCGGTGGTTTCGTTTGCTTTCCTTCTTTTTACAGACCACCTCCCACCTATAGCTTCATAACTGAACGCTTTCCCACACCTTATCGAATCTGCTTTGAATAAGCTACACACTGAGGGTCGCTCAAATGTGCGGGCGGCAAGTGTTTAGGTTTAGGAGCACAAAATCGTCAACTCTTGGTTTTTTTTTTTTTTTTTTTTTTTTTTTTTTTTTTTTTTTTTTTTTTTTTTTTTTTTTTTTTTTTTTTTTTTTTTTTTTTTTTTTTTTTTTTTTTTTTTTTTTTTTTTTTTTTTTTTTTCTCAAATTCATCGCTCTTTCCTCGTTGGCTAAAGCTCCCATTGATACGAGAACTACCTTGGTGGGATACCCACCTCTACGTCGCTTGCTGCCTTTAAGTCAACTGGCGACGAGGTTCAACCAGCTTGCGTTCGAATAGCGGAAGCTGTCGCGTTTTTCATTCTGGTGGAAGCATTCCTAGAAAAGCTCACCACTCTAATTACTGCTAAGCAAAACGCCGTCCCCCCATCTCAGCGAAGGATGTGGTAATGCGTACGCTGCGAAGTGTCACACAGAAGATCGTCGTGAGCGTTTCCTTCAAAGTTACGTCCTGGTCTGGAGGGGTGGGGATAATTGCGGGACTTTTCGCGTTACGGCTAATCACCTTGGTTCAGATTGAATTTCGCCATACCGACTAAGCAGGGTGAATATTGCTTGAGGATTCCACGTCGAGGATTTTCGCCTGATCCCCTACGTTCTCGCGCGCGGATATTCACTCTCGCCACCCGTGAACCGTCTGTGCTCTCCGCGTCATACATTCACCTCCCCCCCCCCCCCCCCCCCCGCCCCCCCCCCCCCCCCCCCCCCCCCCCCCCCCCCCCCCCCCCCCCCCCCCCCCCCCCCCCCCCCCCCCCCCCCCCCCCCCCCCCCCCCCCCCCCCCCCCCCCCCCCCCCCCCCCCCCCGCCCCCCCCCCCCCCCCCCCCCCCCCCCCCCCCCCCGCCCCCCCCCCCCGCGCCCCCCCGGCGCCCGCGCGCCGCCGCCGCGCCTTCTCTACTCCTCGCACAGCAGGGAGCGATGGTCGAGGACTTCCTCGACCATTATTCGCCCTGCCGACTAGGCCCAGCTCTGTAGGGTTAGTTTGTTAGTACCACTTTATGTAGGTGTGGGGAATGTAGGAAGTGGCTAAGCTATCATTCGGCCGGCCAATAATTTACCCGAGACGCAAAATCGCGATGTGATAAAGTGCAAAAAGGAGTCGAATTCATGGGCATCCTGATAAACTTGACCTACACTAAACATTTCATTTCTATTTCTTCTTTACTCTTGAACCGAAATTTGACATATGTTTTTGAACGTTTTGGTCTGCATGTAACATGTTCAGATGCAACTCCCAAGCGGCCCCATGCTATTTTTGACCATCCTGCTTCTCGGTGGAAAAAGCCCATAATCCTATTGGCAACACCAGATAGACATGTTGCCCTTTTGAATGTCGTGCAAGTTTCCAGCAGAAAAATTCGCTTTCTTTCTCACCGTCGTTCCTGATTCGCTTTCCATTTTTTGTCCAATAGATCTTCTTTTTGTCGAAATTCTTCCTGGGACATTTGATCTTGATGCTGGTCCCTGAAAAACGACAATTCTTAGATTTCCCTGAGGAAGAGTCGCCATATTTTCTGCAAGCATGGATCTGATTTTTTCTCTGGAGACATTAGAAAAATGGGAATGAAACAAAATAATTCATTTTTCAAGAACGATAAATTTTGTTGAAATCTGGAAATTCGTCAGCTCCATGTCCTGAAAGACCTTCCTTGTTAGCCATTCAGCTTTCCTCTTTACTACCGCACCATTTGGCCACTCTGCTCTCACCTTGATAGGAATCAAGTCATCGTAATCGCTGCCTTCAAGGGTGGTTTCTATACGATGGTTATGAAGTGAAAATCATGGGTTTGCCGCTGTCCCATCTTTAACCATCTGTCACAGAGTTTCCTTTCAATAATCTTTTTCTTCCAGCACATATCAAAGTGTCGGCGAATGGTAATCTTCGTCTGTTTCACGCTCGAATGGAAGACGCCGGTGTGTACGAATGTTATACGGATTCATTGCAAGGAAACGTCACGCTTCGGTTCAAATATCGCGACGATGACAAGGTGAGAACAAGGCGCTGAATTGATATGTGCCACGAAATCTTCGGGCACTACCTTCCAATGATGACCATATTTTCAACGAGCGCCTTTCTTTTAATAAAGATATTTCATGAAGAACTTTCTTTTAGCCTAATCGTCTACGTCCATCTCAACTTCACAAAGGTCACAAAGGAAAGAACAAGAATGCATCGCTTTTTGAGGTAAATACTATAATATATTGAAATCCGAATTCAATGCATAATCAGCAGCTGTTGGAGTGGGAGTTTTGTTTTGATAAGAAATCTTGGAGTGCACCGCGCCTTCGACAACCCATCAGAAATATGAAGAAACCCGGGTGTGTGGCTATGAAACTGATTCTTAGTCTCGGCGATTTTCACCATCAGCTGGATCTCCTTTCCCTCCCATGACATATTTGTTGCCTGTTCACCAATGTGGGCGAGTTCGATGCAATGGTACATCGACAGAGCACCGCCAATAGCATTTTGATTACCATTCGCCTGACGATCATGATATGGGAATCAGGTCCTGGAAGCCACCTGCTCAGACCGCCGTTAACGTTTGAGACAGCTTAAAGGCAGTGGGTACGATGTCCGAAAGGTGGAGCGGTCTACAACATCATTAGCCGCTCCTTGAGGGAAGGGTGCTGGAGGGATTGGTCGGGATCATGCTTCAGCGCCCTCGGTCAGCGACGAACAATGACGTCACCAAAACCGCCCGCCCCTCTCCATCGGCACCCACTTGCTTCTGTATTAAGCTATATCAATCTAAAAGGTTCCAAAAGTCTATTTTGTTCACCACCTGTTCAGACAACTCTTTGTGTACGCCGAGCAAAGATTCAGAATTTTGTGGTGAATGCTAGCAGGCTTGTGGCATTTGTCGCTCAAACAGCATTACAATGAAAGTAGAATGCATGGCGCATCCAATATTGATCAATATCGGATGTTTTATCGTTTACAATATTTCAGTAATGAAGTTCCTTTCAGGCGATTCTTTCTGCTGGAAGTTATTCTGAGATGGCAAGGGAGTTACAAAAACACCGCGATACGATTCAAGCCCGTTGGGAGATGGGACACTGGACAGACTGCAAACAGGTCACATGTGGTGTTGCCGGTTACCAGGTGTGGCTATGTTATTTCCTCAGTGGACATAAAAAGTAAAATATGTTGTTTGCTTGTATTTTTCACTTCATCTTATTTTTTACAGGCACGGGAAGTGACTTGCAGCGTGATGGTGGACGGTGCGCGTCGAACCGGCGATCCACGGCTGTGTACCGCGTTAGCTTCACCTCGACCGCCTGACACAGACCCTGCCCACAAAGCAGGAATGCCCGATGGGCATGGCCGAGTGAAAATTGGACAGAGGAAATTCGTTTGAGCGACGAACAGCAACAAGAAAACTTTAGGAATACGGGCATCCCTTGCCCGTTTCAGCTCATTCTCTTCTTTGCCCAGCTCACCCTTGCACGCTACTTTTAAGGAGATGAAACATCTTTTTCTTTAATCTACCTTCTTTATTCCGTTGGCATGCAAGCTGCTAGACACTTGGGCAAGCACAGTCAAAGAGCATCAACCACACGCCCAGTTCATTAGGGACAGTAAGTCGAAATCCACTCTCAACTCTAGCAATACAGTGATGACCGAATTACGATATGGGGATGGTATTAGCTGGTTCTTGCATAGGATGTCCCACCTAGGTTCTACCCGAACTCGGTCCTACAGCCTTAGGTATCGCTATTACTACCAGTTCGTGCCTTTTTGTGAGTTTCGCTTCCACAAACTTTAATTGGGTTTGGAAGTCGAACATTTTGGAGCTACTCCCATGTCATGGTAGACGTACCTATAGGTGAATCATAGTAACAAGCTGTCTCCGAGTTTAAAGATGGAGAAGTGATAATCAAGGTGCAATATCTAGGATTTGAGGAATTACCATAGTATCCATTCAAGATTCGAAGAGCTGTTGTAGCTGGGAAGGCCAAGGAATATCTCATAGTAAGCCGTTTGTAGGTCCTGCTGTAAGGACTCACTGGAGTGCAGAAACTGCCATACCTGCATCTATAAATCTTGCACAGACTACCGCTAAATCTCTCACAAAAGGATACATTTTACTTCGTGAGCTGTGGCAACAATTGAGGTTCTGGATGGACGACCAAACGAACATCTTCCTCCTCCTCCGCCCCCCCCCCCCCCTCCACGCTTCCTACACTCTCCATACATAGCAAGTAGCCCCTTTGAGGTAGTTTAATTTCAAGAACATTCAACTAACCACAAGTTACATAATGTACCTGCTTAACCACCAGAGCAAAATTCAACGAAATCACTTCAAATTCCAAGAAGAAGCTTTCCTAATACAACAAACTCTCTTACTACTACTGCTTTACATCGAACACCCACACAACTCAAAAGGCAACGATCACGATGGCTACTGGGCCGTGCGCTTTCTACGACGTCCGTCTTGAGCATTGTTGGTGCGCTAGACTCCCAGCGCGCTAAGGGGTTTGGTTGGGAGGGAGTCTCAGCGTCCTCCACTGATGACCTTAGATCACGCCATCGAAAATACAATGCTTTCCGGCCATCGTGTGATCACTGCTTCCAAGTATCACCATTTCTCATGAGAAAAACCTTAAGTGCAATCTCATATCCCTCGTTGAACTTTGATCAGCGAGCAGATGACCCTGCGTGGAAGTAGTACTACTGACGATTAGCCTTGATACCGAATGGCCAACCAGTTTTGACAGCAGTCACCTATCTGTAACTCTTAAGTGGCTGCTTCATATTCTGTAAAGCGCAAGCGTTCACAACCCTGCTTCCATGTGTTTATATTTCGGAGCGGTTGAGGTAAACCTTCGTTGATTAGTCAAAAAAGAGGGAGAGTGGCAGTGGCAAAATGCCAAATATCGTTGATGCATGGCTCACCCTCCCGTGCGCAGCGCCAAACTGGTGAGGATAACCCACTTTTGCTTTTAGTGCTCAACCGCTCCATGCCAGCGCAATGGAGTTGCGAAACAACGTCGTCATGTGAGATGCCTGAAATCGAACGGAGAAGCCGTGGAAGAGGAGCGCTGTGACAAAACGCAAAGACCGAAGACGCGCAAGGAATGCGAAAATCGTGGGTTACCTCTTTAGACCCAATGAATAAGCGTTTTCGATTTGGGTTTGTTTAGCAAGCTGCAAAGCCGAATGGCATGCATCCGACTGGGGCTCCTGCTCATCAAACTGTGGTACCGGAGGGGTACAAGTAAGTGATTTCCAAACTTCTGCTCGTTGGAAGGTTCACAACGAAGTGTGTTCCAGCTCCGGCTATTATCTTGCGTGTGGGCAGCGAGTCGAGCTGCAGCCGGCCGCAACTGCGAAGGGAGACGTCCACCAGCTGCTCGTTCTTGCCCGCTTGCTGGTTCGCTTCCTCCTTGTAGTCCTACTGCCCTTCCTCTACAACAAGGTCAGTTCCCATGGATATCGTCCCGTAATAGGAACGTCTTCATCAACCTGCATGTTCCAATTTTCTTTTACTTGTGTCATGCAACCCACTTTAGATGAATCTTGCGAAGATAACTCGCGCTACTGTGATATTATCAAAGTGTTCCATTCGTGAGTTTTCCTTCCCAAATTCCTCATTTTCTTTTTTTCTCTTTTGCATGCATTTCCGTAGGAACGGCGTGTTGACGGTTGCCCTAATTGGCCGGCCCTCAAGGACTAGGTCTTTCTTTTGTCCACACCAACTTTCTTTTTCAGATGCGACTCTGGTGAGGTTCGTCAGAAATGTTGTGCGACGTGCAAATATGTGGAGAAGCGACGTCGTTGATCCCCAACACTTCTCCTCTAGGCAATTCTCACTTCGAAAGCGATTTCAACGCTCTCGTCATTTCCCCCCTACCGCCCAGTCACATGCAATACATAGCCGCTGCGTTTATTCCCATTTGTACCTCCGTTGATGATCTCATTAGACTAGCCACATTCCTATCAGAGTATTCCATAAAAACCCTACGTGCTGGTTCTCGTCCACGAAAAGGTTGTGACTGCCTCGCTCCTGCGCTCACCGTTCCTCCTTCAAGTACAATAGAAACCCTGCCCCTTTTTTGCGCTCGCTTCCGTGCAACGTCGATATTATATCGCCAGTATTGTTGCAATATAGAGGAGTGATACCTGTTTTTTCCTTTAATTTCGCTTATCATTTTATGTTACTAATAAATATTTATTTGTTTTGTGATTTTTGTGCAATAATTCTTGAAACAGTAGTCGTATCGCGACTGTGGGGAACGGAGTTCAGCTCGCCTTTTCTCTGTAGAGTGTCACGCAGGGTTTTCAGCTCAACTTCTCCAAGTTGCGGCAGGTAGACAGCTCAAACTTGGGTAATTAAACGTTTATCATGTATATAAAGGTAATAAAATGTATTGCATTAAATACAGGCAAGTTTTGGAGCATGAGAGGTACATATAAAGGATGGTGAGAAGTGAATTCAAACTGCGCGAGAATGAAATAACGACTGAGAGTCGTTATAAGTCGCGCTGTACATTCTCACTAACAAGGGATGGATACCGGTCGAAGTGGTGACTCGTAAACCTATACAGATGTGTTTTCGGACGCTGATCTCAAAACCTCCTATATTTGCGGAGCAATTCCCTAATAGAGCTGCAGAGGTTTCAAACGAAAGCCCATGGTAAGAGAGGCTGGCAGACGGAAGCTGCAAGCAGCGGCTTGGCCGAGAGGTAGTGTTGGCGGCTTACATTTTGGAAAGATCATAGAGGCATGCTCGAAAGTTTTGCTCGTCTAACTTACGTTTGTTTTTAGTATAAAACAACAATTCAGTGGTGAAATTTACACTGTGTACAACGCTGTATGTTTAGAGAGTTTTACAAGCACCGACATTTTCGCCATAATGTTTCCGACCAGTTATGTTACAAGTGTCGGGGTGTTTCTACGTCACCGAAGGTGGTGCATCTCCGATGGTGGACTAAACAAATGTGAAATGCTTGCTCAGCGGATCAAACTATCTCTGAAGGCTGAGTTTAAGAAAACTGACATTGAACTGGATTTTTGAAAAGGGGGTCGCCTCAATCACCGTTGGTGTTGTCCCTAGCCACTACCCTAGTGCTGTTTTGCCATAGACGACAGCGAACGTGTACTTGAAGAAAAACACCGCACACGTTTTGGATAGCGCAAGCAAATACACGTATTTTCACAAGTACGTATAACTGAAATTTTGATTCCATCTCATGACTAGAACCTGAAAATGGGTTGAATTATATTAGGTTGTCTCATAAATAGTGTCGCTTTTTTCAACCAAAAAATTTTCATCTGAATCCCCATGCTTTTACATCGCGTCATATTACTGTTCAAAAGAAAATTTGGTCATGGCTCTCTTAACAAAAATGCTATGTTCCACTTCCACCTCTGTTTCAGGGTTTTCAGATTTTAGGCCTCCAAAATGGGAGGTCCAGCCGACAAAAATTGACCAAACCGACAACTAGCTCTAACTTTTATCTTCTCTTAACAGAAATCAATCAATGATGTGCCCTCTACTTACTATTACTCATGACCTCTTCTAAACATTCCACTCTTAGGTTGCCGAAAAAGCTTTGCCGTTTTTCTTTTCGAATTGGCTGACCGATAAGCCATAGCAATTTTCAAATTAAAATTGTTCCTCGTAAACGCCATTGTTTCATATCGAGTGGTGTTCCTTTTGTGAGCACTTCTGCTCTATTCGCTCATTTGTTTTGTTTTCAATGTTTGTTGGGAATTAGTTCGAAGTTTTGATATTCAGGAATAAGATATTTTTTCCACGAAAGTGACCGC